TGTGTGTGTGTGTGTGTGTGTGTGTGTGTGTGTGTGTGTGTGTGTGTGTGTGTGTGTGTGTGATATTTACATATACATAACTTGATTTGAACACCTGTTTATCTAAAAAAAACAATTAAATTCATGCTATTGTCAGCAAATATATTGTCATGTCAATTTACAGGAATGCGTTGCAAAACTGAATATGAGACGGCTTGTCTCCATCAGTATGGATGGCCCCAATGTTAACCTTAAGCTGGGAGACCTTCTTCAGAAGGAGCATGCAGAGCTTTATGGAACTCAACTGGTCAAGGTTGGAAGCTGTGGGCTTCACACCATGCATAATGCAGTGAAGGCAGGCTTTTCCATGTGGCAGCTGGACAAGCTTCTGCGGGCGCTTCACTTCCTCTTTGACAATGTTCCTGCTAGGAGAGAGGACTTCACTGCCTTGACTGGGTCCACAAGTTTCCCATTACCATTCTGTGGCCACAGATGGGTTGAAAATGTTCCTGTGGCAGAGAGGGCTGTTCAAGTCTGGCCAACAATTATGAAGGTATTATATTTGTTTACCAGTTACGTACTGATGAATTTTTAAAGGGCTACATTTCTTATAAAGTACTATTTTTGTATGCATGTCTATCATAAATTAGTTAAGTAGCAACTATGCTTGAATGTTTTCCAGGAGCTTGCATGATGATTTCATAGTGAGAATTTGGGGATTCATTTTTATTATTCTCTTAAATTGGCTTTTTTAATTTAAATTTTTTTTGCATCCTCCTGGACAACCCAGTATAATTTTCTTGAGTGCTTTCACTATTTAAATCAGAGGTGTCAAACTCCAGTCCTCAAGGGCAGCTATCCTGCATGTTTTAGAGGTTTTCCAACAACACACCTGATTTAGAGATTGAATTAACTCTTCAAAATGGGCAGAAGCCTGTTAATCACCTAGCAATCAAAATCAGGTCTATTGGAGCAGGAAAACATCTAAAACATGCAGGATAGTGGCCCTCGAGGACTGGAATTTGATGCCCCTGATTTAAAGAAATTTAATTGTGTGTGTGTGTGTGTGTGTGTGGTGTATAATAACTTATTTTAATGTGTAATAACTTATTTTAATATGCAGTATATGGATGCTGTCAAGCAAAAGAAGCTCCCCAACCCAGGCACTGCCTCTTACGACACCATTCAGGCAGCACAAGCTGATCCCCTCATAATTGCCAAACTCCAGTTCTTCCTGGCAATATCAAGAACCTTTAACCCATTCCTAACCAGTTACCAGACAGATGAACCAGTTCTGCCCTTCTTAGCTGAAGACCTGAGTGAGCTGCTAAAGGTGATGATTACAGTAATACTAATTCAACTAAATCTACATTAGGTTCTGCCACTGATTTTATTTCATTTTTTCTGTAACAGAGTCTGCTGAGGCACTTTGTGAAAAGGGAGCTCCTGCAGGACACCAGTGCCCTACAGCTAAACAAATTTGTTGTGGCTAATGAAGCAAATTGGGTTCCAGTAAAGAATGTTGACATATGCCTGGGTGCTGAATCTGTTCTAAAGGTAATTTTCCTATGTTCTATTTAAAACAAATATGCATGGGTTTTGTGCTGTACACCAATCTGACCAGTTAGAGTAATAAATTTAGAATTTCTCACATTTTTGGTTCTACTCATAATGATAATAGTTACTATAGTAGTAACTGTAGTTACATAGTTTCAAAAAGAGATAACCTTTTTTGAAAATTTATATATTTTACAGCTTGTGTTTAAAGTTCACATTTTTTGTCACTTCAGAGCAAGCCAGGAAGCAGTGTAGGGGAGCRTTCTGTGCTCATCTTTAGGAAAGAGTGCATACAAAGCCTGGTTACCATCATAAAGAAACTGCAGGAGAAAAGCCCCTTGAAGTTTCCRGTGGTCAGGGCCGTGGCATGTTTGAATCCCACAAACATGCACAGGGATCCTGTGTGGTGCCTCACAAAAATGAAGACCACAGTCCAGAAACTTCTGCAGGATTGTCAGTTGACAGGAGGCATCTCAGCTGGTAGGAAAAATGTAGAATAAGGAGATCAGAAGTAGGAGGGCCACTATATGTCCTTTTATATTGGCCCTCTTCTTTATTTGAATGTAGCTACTTCCATCTCATGAAATYCTGCAACACAGTTTAATTGGTGCGTTCTTCTCATGTGTAAGCTCCCACATGAAATAAATTTTATATTTTTGAAAAATATAATGAATCAGGGGTCAACAAAAACATTATTCAGGTTGTTCAAGATAACCTATTCAGACAACCAGATCTGGCCTCCTGGTTGTATGGTGGACAACCAAGAAAAAAGACCTAGAATAAAGTTCTTTGTCACTGATGTCCATCATTTGTTAAAATGAAAGTGAGAAAAAAACATTTTAAAGCATAAAGTTTAAAAGATTAAACTGATATTTTTTTCACCCAATAAAAAGAATCGTAGTAAAAGTTTTATCCAATCAGAGCAGTGTGGGGCGTACTGTGATTGCACAACGAGGAAGTTCTACTCAAGCAGCTCCTAAAACTGTCAACCTGAATGACTCAGAACATTTGTATAGTAAACATTGCCTACAGAACAATATACTTATTAAATTATATTTTTCTTAAGATTTTTTTTGTCAATTTTTGTAAAGGACAACTAAAATATTTTGAGGACAACCAGATGTCTACCCCTGTGAAAGATGAACTAAATGAATAGAATGAAATTTACCACATCAGTAATTACTTGTTTAATTTGTCCTGTTGCAGGTGACTTGATCATCCAACAGTTTGAAAGCTTTCTCTCTGTTGAGGCTAGAGACGAGCGTTTCCTCTCCTTTCAACCACTGCAGCAGCGGGTTGATGTGTTCCTGCACTCAGCACTCAGCAAGTCTCACCCTGAGCTCTCAAGGCTCTGTCAGATCCTTCTACTACTCTCCCATGGACAAGCCACTGAGGATTCTCAGTTAACAAGCAGGTTGAAACCTGCAACATACATGAAGAGTCAATGGAGGCCCTGAGGTTGATCTGCGACAAGGTCAGTGTCTGTGGGGGTGTTCTGAAGGTGCCACTGACAAAGGAACTACTGGCTTCTGTTGCCTCTGCAAGGTCAAAGTACAGGATTCACCTGGAACAGCAACGAAAGAAGAACGAAACTTACACTCAGAGCCTTAAGAGGAAAGCAGCTGAAGCTGAGTTGGAAGAGTTGAAAAAAAGAGAAAAGTCCTACAAGAGGTGTGCAATTCATTGCAGAAAGATACAGATCAGTTAGCAGAGCAAGCAGAGGGAAAGTCAGGCTCTTTAATGGCCCAACTGATCACCAAGTCCAACGTCTTGAGAAGGAGACATAARGAAAAACTCAGTGAGCTGGTGCAAACTGAAGCATCGCTGGAATGCAAAACAAATGCATTGAGGCACATGTGAGAAGCAGCAGCAGGAGAACTGTTTGTATTGTGTTATTTCTTATTCACCATTGTTCAACCAAGTTGTCAGAATAGATGTGAGTTACTTGTTTCTTGTTATGAACTATATACATTTTGAACCTAGTCATGGTTCTATTTCTTCTTTTGAACTATTTTTCTTTCAACTGTATCTCAGTTCTGTTGTAGGTTTGATTTATAGATTTAATAAAAAATAACAACAGCAGTTTTGTAAATCAAAGATTTGTTGCTTAATAAAACTTATTGTGACGACAAAGTCTTAAAAATGTTTTGGAAGGTTTTTAAAAAGTCTTGAAAAGRTATTGAAATTAATTCCATTATTCTTACATTTACCCTGCCCGTGCTTGGTCAATAAAAGTAACATTCACTGACTTCCACAATGTTTTCTCTTCATTTCTTTGAGTGTTCCTGAAAGCTAACAAGTTGCACTTTGGAATGACCTTATTATTGTATCATGTTTTTGATCTGAGTTTGTTTTACAGAACCAAATGTCTGAATGAGTCCTCATCCAAGACTGGTGATTCCATACTTTTTGCCAGGGGTTGTATGTGTAATTTAGAACCGTCTATAGTGAATCAGATGCAGATTGGGTGAACTATGTGAAATTTACATGTCAATATGTAAATATATTCAGTGGCATGATGTCTAATTAGGTTACATCCCCCTAAATCAGTTCTGTAGTGGGGTAGATTTGGTTCAACCATTGCAAGTCGCATGCTGATTGGCTGAAATATATGTAATTTAGAATCAAACGTATGTCAACAACTTGATGTGTAATTAGGCCACACACCCCAAAATTGGCCTGCATTCCTGTAGTGAGGTGGATTAGGATTGGCCATAGCAAATTGGATGCAGATTGGCTGAAATATGTGGAATGTAGAGCCAAATGTATGTCAATGGCGTGATGTCTGATTTCATCACCCTGACATGACCACGCCTTTCACTAAAAAGTATTCATGCTTGAAAGCAAGTGAGAGCAAGTTCTTATCTGTGTTCTGACGCAGTTTGTTGCTGATTAGGTCAAGAGAGTCAGAGATGGAGCTTTCCAAGCCAAAAAACGTCACTTGTTGTCAGGGGGTGGAGCTTTGAAGGTGTCATATGACCACTTTGTATGGTCGGCATGGATGACTCGTGCCAAGTTCGGTGTATTTTAGCCTTTCTATGTAAAAGTTACAGCTTTCTGAAAATGTAATGGACAGACTGAGAGGATTTCTAAGTCCCCACCTTGGCAACAGGGAACAAAATTGGGTGTGGTGCATTTGTATACACAAATACTGTATGTGTTGTCATACTGAAGACGAAATGACATTAAAATCTTCCAAGAATGCACCAAGGAGGTTTGATAATCGTGGTTGAACAATTTCAATAACACAGAATATTGGTAACAATAGTTCTTTAATTGTGCTTTATTAAGGGGGCATACCATGCAAAATCTACTTTTTTAGCCAGTAAATGAATTTCGTTCTCTTAATCTGGAATGAGCTTTTCTAGCTCTTCCACAGGTGTGGTTTGGATTTAAAGGAAGAGCATCAAAACAAGCTCTTTTCAGTCACACATGAGAAATGGGGGGAAAGAGGGACCTGTGGATTTACAAGGAGGAATTTAGACCAAAGCATTGCAGTTCCACTTTATATAGACCCCAACTGAATGATTTAAATGTGAAATAGAAGGATTTAAAACCATCCGTCCACTTTAAACTAAAGTGTCACAAGGTGCAAAGTGTTAAACCAACTATTGTTATTTTTATTTCCACAAATGTAACAATCACTAACACAGAATACATAATAATTAGAGACAAAATTATCATTAATATCTGTCTCTGGCAATATAAGCACTTATCATATTTTTTCCTGTGTGAAGTAACGTAGTTTATTCCTATTAACTCTAATGCACCTAAATTAGGTTTAGCGTTACCCAGGTTACAAGAATGTGACTATGTAATATCTTGTGTAAGGCTTATGCTGTTTCACAGGATGATATCTCAGCAGACAAGGTTTGCTTTATCATCTATAATAAAGTTCGATGAAATGCCAAAACTCAGACTCCCTACAGAGACAGGATCTGCCAACTCTTTTAGCAGATGGAAATGATGACAGGACAAAAACATAAGGGAACAATCTGTTCCTCCAGCCGATTATGAAGCTACCTACTGTGAGCAGCCAGGTGCCTAAAGTTCTAATATGCAGGGTTTATTATCCACTACATATTCTGTATGCCACATTTAATGTAATAGCAATTGATTAAGGATAAAAGCCATTGTTTTCACCACTTTCCTTACAGAATGTCACCATGTCATTATTAAAGACAAATGAACCAAAATGGAAAAGTTCTGTGTAAAACACTAAATCACTCTCATAAACAAACAACTTGTAGAACTTTTAACAGTAAGGACATGAAGTCCTTCTTTTCTGTTTGACTTTATCAGTTACTCACATGATTGTGAAAGAATTTTGGCACACCTTTCTTTCCAACATTGCTTCATTTCTTTGAGGTTTACAGACATTTGTTTCTTCACAGTTCTCTTAAGGTCCCACGTAGCATTTTCAAATAGGTTGAACTCTAGACTTTTTACCACAGCAAAACTTAATTTTTATATGATTGGTTGTAGATTTGCTGTGAAGGTAAGTTTTATCTGTTTGACAGGTGGCCTCACATTTCAATTTAGAATACTTTGGTCTCAGAGGAGTCCACGGTCAACTCTTTGACTCTAATGGTGCATTCACACCAAACACATTTTCAGCATCAAAATCGCGTCCAACGCTTCAAGTTGAACGCTTGTGCACAATACTTGTTCAGACCGAAAACAAGCAAGTGCATTTAGTTTTAACAAAGGCCCAGAGACCTGGCTCCACCTATTTGATTACGTCATCAGTAAAGGGAGTCCCTATACTTCTCGAAGCCATGCCCCCAGACATTATAATCTATTCTAATTAAGTTTTTAAAAGTTCAGTTATGTGTTGAATTTGTTTTCAGGCATGTAGCTATTAATAAAAAATCATCAATTTAAAAAAAACGGTCACATTTAACAATCTTTAACAGTTCTATCATAATACAGACTATACGATGTGTAGTGTAATTAAAATCAGTATATAACGTAAACCCCAATAAATTTCTTTATCAGGGTTACAGATTTAGGGTCAACGTGAGCAGTACCAGAGACAAACAGAGACTGAGACAAGTTATACAAAAGGTAAGTGATTTTATTTTTACAGGTGCGGGAGGGGTCTGGGATCTGGACCTGGAACAGAGCAGTAGTAGAGGTACTTGATAATCTTCCAGTAATGGATTTAAACAGTTAAGTGCAGCAGGTAGGTTCTTACGGATAGGGGAAGGAGATGAAGCACGGATGAGTTGGTCCACAAAGGTAGGTATCCCAAGGTGAGTATTTACAAGTGCGTGGATATTTACAGTGAGTCGTTGGAGGCAGCGCATAAAAAACTGGTGAGAGGCTCGGAGTCCAAGGTGGCAGGCAAAGAACGTTCTGGAGAGTGATTTCCTGGAAACAGGTAAATACAAAGAACTCAGGTAATACAAAACTCTTTGAGAGGGTAACAAGTGGTGGGCTGAGCTCATACCAAACAAGAGGCTATGCTCCAGTGCCGAGTTGGTCTTTGGCACTGCCTTAAGAAGCCTGAAGTAGATGAGCCAGATAACACAGGTGTGGGTGATCAGCGCTGCCACCAATCAAGGAGGTAGGGGGGTGGAAACACCAAAATGTCACATTCTTCAATGGAGTAGAGTAGAGTAGAGTAGAGTAGAGTAGAGTAGAGTAGAGTAGAGTAGAGTAGAGTAGAGTAGAGTAGAGTAGAGTAGAGT